ATGATATTATACATATTTGTCACTGTCACCTTTGTTAATATTTTACATTAAACTCAATGGTAGGCCCATTTCCATTGTTGTATGAATTTGAATAGTAATTACATGACATTTGCAAGCTGAAGTATACATTATTAATGAAAATGTGGTCCATCTCACCAGTCTATATTATTTTTCAATTTTTAGAGTCAGGAACTCTCATTATCAGTGAACAGTAGTTAATTTATAATAAAACCAAAAAAACAATGAGGTAACAATTCAGATTTCTTAGAGAAGTCCAGATCTCTTCTGAGAACAAAAGTTAATTCTTCTAAACTGAAAAGAGACCACAATATGAAAAATGAAAGAATTATTTCCCCCACATTCCCTGGGCCAGCAGACCATATAAGGCAGAATCCTTTCTCCTTCATCATTGGCCTCAGAAGTCCGTAACATTTTGCTTTACACCAAGAGTATGGGCCCGACAGAGCAATGGGACACCTGTCTCATGGCAAGTCAGGGGAAAGTAGCTGAAATCAAATTTCCCTTTGGGTTGGCATAGTCCTTTTCTAAAGGAAGTAGTTTGAAGTCTTGGTGATGTTGAGTGGGTCGTTTGGTTGGTGGGTTGGTATGTGCCATCGAGTCAGACCCGACTCATAGTGACCCCTCCTTGGGTTTCCGAGGCAGTATCACTACGGAAGTAGATTGCCCCATCTTCCTTCAGAGGAGTGGCTGCTGAGTTTGAACCACCAGCCTTCTGGTTAGCAGTCAAGTGCCTTAGGCACTATGCTACTAGAGCTTTGCCTAGAATCAGGGTAGCCTTGGGACACTAGGAGAAATTGATTTCGTCCAGAAATACTGATTTAGATTTCAGATGAAAATTTCCTGCAGGGATGGATGACATGATTTGGAATCCAAGATAGGCCTCCTCAGTAAGCTTACAACTTTTACCCCTTTTGCTTTAAAGGAGAAAAATATAAGAACACTTAAAAATAAATGAAACTGATCCTAGAATTGTATATATGACTGACAGCAGTAGAGTACAATATCAGAAGAGCAAGCTTTATAAATATATTAGTCAGAAAAAGAAAATTTTTTAAAAGAAAGACGCAATACTTTAAAATACACTATTCAACATAAAAGTGAGGAAAGATGAAAATGAAAGAGCAAATAAAAGCCTGAGCTAATCTTGTTCAAATAAATCTTTCCATAAGCAAAAAACACAAATTCAGAATGAGAGGGCTAAGGATAAAATTAGAAGATCCTGAGATGAACATTAGGTCCAGGTTGCATTTTGGAACTGTGCAATTAGGAAGGACAATATTAAGATGTAGAAAAGGAAACAGAGTTAGCTGACAGTGTGATGTACCTACAAGGACAAATACTACAAAAGATCATCTAATCATATTAGAGGAACCAGAGAGATCAAGGGTACATCTTGTGATGAACCTATTTTGGAGTGATGGAAATGATTGCCAGCTGTTCCTAACTGAAGACTACTTGAGGCAGGATGACCCAGAAAGTCCATATGGTACAAAAGGCAAAAGCTTAATTAGATGTATCACTTCCAATTGCTTAAATCCACATTCCCAGAAGGAAGGAGATTAATTGTAATTATTGGGAGGGTGACTTTCAAAAATGCTAGACCTCTGGAGGCTGAAGCATGATGGGATTTAATAGTGGAACTCTCGCAGAATAGAAGTTAAAACACTCAGCTGCTAATCAAAAGATTGGCAGTTCAAACCTACAACCACTTAGTGGGGAGACAGGTGAAGCAGTCTGCTTCCATAAAGAATTACAGCCATAGAAACCCTATGGGGCAGTTCTGCTGTGCCTTGTAGGTTCACTTTGAGTTGGAATCGGCTCGATGACAGTGGGTTTGGTGATTTTGTTTTGTTCTATTTTAATCTTTGATTGTGAGAATTTGAAGTGATGGTTATTTGCGTTTCTTCTTTTATGATATGTGCATATAACTTCTATAATGAAAACTACGTATTTGAAAAGTATACACAACTATATACAAGGATTGAAAGTAATTTGGCTCCTTCTATAAGCTCCGCTGAAAATCAATTCATAGTCATATCACATATTGTAAAATGGTCAAAAGTTAATAAATTACTGCAAATGTTAGAAGCATCGTTGCCAAAAGTCAATGTAGAGATTTTTTTAAAACAAACTGCTAAATAATTTAAACCTAGAAACAAGTCTTAAAATGACTGTGCAAGGTAAAACTATATTTGATCATTATTTAAGAGTTTTTAAATCTTATTTTTAAGGGGATGAGATCACACAAAATTAGGTGTATGCTATGTTCTTCCTGTCATTATGGGGTTCTTGATGACAAAACTTTGTATTAAGGTGTGACCTGAACCTTTGACAGGGTGATTAGGTCTAGAATGCTACACTGGTACAAAGGGACCTTAGGCCCTTTATGGGGTAGAATTGTGCATCATGGTTATTTTCTACTGTTCTGTTCTAAGAAACCCTTTGGAAGATTAGAAATACCCTACCATGTATGTCTCTGTAGAAGAGCTCATTTCTCCCTCGTAAATTTTACTTGAGTATTTTATTTTTTTGCATTTTCTATCTCATGCATTTTGCATTCACTTCATAACAATGTAAGTGATCTATTTATTGATTTATGTTATGAAACCACAATTAAGGTGCATTTGATCTATAATTTTATTTCTGAAGCTCTTATTCTGTGGTTTGTGTAGCATTTATATCATGAAGGTTAGTCTTAGCCCAGAATCTTAGAGAGGGAAAGGAAGGGGGAGGGGAGAAGAGAGAGGAAGGGAGGAAGAGAAGATTTCTTAAGAATACCTTATTTCATTTGCATGAGATTATCTGTAAAATAATATCTACCACATTCAAACGGATAAATGCAGTTTGGAATGCAGTGATAGTTAGAAGTTTACATTGACTTCAAGAAATCTGGAAGTGTGTACTTTAAAATGTATTTTAATTAGTAACTTTAGTATCTTTCCCTCTCAAAGCTGGGTTACCTGATCTGAAAGAAGAGGTAGAAATAAATTCCTCTCTAAATCTTAAACGAATAAATCAACCAAGCTTTGAAATGTCTTCATGATAGTGCTTTAACAATCCACATTGTTATTTATTCCAGTGACTGTTTCAAATGGTAGTTTCTCATTTGGAGGAGCAGTTCAAAGTAATTTTGAGCTCTGTTAAAATCATTACTTTAAAGAGCTCTGATTACTTTCATGTCCTAATTACTAAATGGGCAAATCTATCTCTTGCATCTTGTTTAGAAAGTCCAAGCAATAAAGAAGTGTTACATGATGATTGATGAACACTATTTGATTTTTTCTTATCCAGCGTTGCATAGGATATCCATTATGTGTGAACTGTCTCTGGTTAAGATATAATTTCTGTAGCAGCATATTGGAAAGTGATCATTCAATGGAAAGATTATAAGCATTTTTTTTTTTTTTTTTTTGAGATAACATCTCACCTGAAACAGAAACATGACAAACATATACCATGTGCCTGTTACTATAGAACCAAAAGACCTTTCCAGCTGTTTACACTTCGGATGTAAAATGGCAATTTGACATAGACTAACAGTGTGATGTGAGCATCTGCGTAAAAAGGCTACACATTGAGCATGCCCAGTGCAATGAGTGCATTCTCCTCCCCCAAACCCCCAGATCTCTGAAGATAAGGCTTGAACTTTGCACTTGCAAATGTCACTGCATACGTTTTGCACTGGGTTTTTTAAAGGTTCCCTTACAACTAATTTCCTTTAACACTGCAAGAGCAGGGAAGGTAACATTTAGGGCAGTAAAATGCATCAAGTTTATAATGAGTTGCTGCCTTTCTTTGAATGCACTTAAAGTGTTCTTTATTTTTAAAGCAATAGAGAGCATTTGAGTATTTATTGTCCCCCTGGAATGGAAAAATAAGAGCCATTTGATTAGAGTCCTCCAGGGCGGGGAGTGAAAGCCCCAGGGCAGAAAGGGACAGCAGAGAGGGGCTTGCATAGAGCATGGCTAAGAAAGGAGCCGGGGTTCTCTGGGGCTCGGCGGCGTGTACAAGCCTTCTGAGAATCTGTGTCCGGGGCTGCAGCTGCGGACGATAAAGGCGCTGTCTGGCTAATGAAGGCCACCTGGATCAGGCTTCTGAAAAGAGCCAAGGGAGGAAGGCTGAAGAATTCTGATATCTGTGTAAGCGCCACGGTTTTCGTTTGGGGGAGATGTGATTTTGCCATTGCTTCTGCTGTTGTTACAGGGAGTGAAGAAGGCAGAGGCTGGTGTGATTTTATTAATATGATCTTGATTGCGAGAAAGATTGAGCTTAGGAGATCCTTGTAATTTTTTTTTCTTTTCTTTTCTTTTTTAGCTTTTTCCTATGTTGTGATGGATTGCCCTATAAAATATCCCTGGCAGGTGTTTTCTGTAGACATCAGTTATTCAATATCTATTTAAGTATTTCAAAATGTCTTGCTTAAAAGATTGAGTGAGGCTAGCTGCTTAGTGCCTTACAGTTTTATCTTAGAAGATACCAAGTGGATAGAAAGGGACCACGTTATTTTTAAGATCAAAGTAGGAGTCATATCATGGTAGTGGCAGTTTGGAGAGCTCAAGTTTATAACTTATTATACTTTATTATTATTAGACATACCTACTTTCTAGTTCTAAATACTTGCCTTAGGGTGTAGATTGTTCTTCTGGCATCTATCCTTGAAAACCATCTGTGCCCTTCAGCCCTGCACTGCACCATTGAGTTGGTTTGATATTAAATAACTTGTCTGGCTTCCAGAAGGAATAATTGAAATAGGAGGTTTGGTGAGGAATGGGAACTTGGTAGATAGAACTGTCCTGTTAGTGAGTGATCTACAAACTAGAGCATGATTTTGTAGTTGGTTTGCTACAAAATGAATTATTTAGTCTTCCTTTCAGGAATTTGTAGCACAAGCTAGAAAACTAACTTCTGTGTCACTGAGAGGTTTCCAGGGCAAACACCATAGATTGAATCTAATTTAAAATATAAATTGTTCTCTTCAGGGTTCGGCAGACTCCTACACCAGCCGTCCATCTGATTCTGATGTATCTTTGGAGGAAGACCGAGAGGCAGTGCGGAGAGAGGCAGAGCGACAGGCCCAGGCGCAATTGGAAAAAGCAAAGGTAAAACCACCTCATCCCTGCCAAGATCTTCCCTTACAAATTGTCCTGTGTCCTGCCTGGGTTGCACCACCTGTGGAAGTTTGCCCTGAAGCTTGTGTTTGGTCTGTTAAGAGCATGCCATTGTCTGGTTTAAAACTGATATAAGAAATAGGATTTATTTTATTTTATTGCTAGAAAAAGGAAGTGAGATGTGCAAGAGTGGTCTTTAATTTTATGTTGCTTTATCCAAACGACTTGTTTACATGAATGGGTGATTTGGTCGCATACACAAATAAATCTTGAAGTTACAAAGGATCCCTGAATATATGAAGAGGAAAAACTATGTCTTATGATAAAATGACTGCATTTCATTTTTCCAATAAACCATATCTCTATTTTAGATAAAACAAAAACACACCTTTTTCCCAGCTAATGTTATTTTCTCACACTTGAATAAATTTTCCCTGAAATTTTATTCCATAGGCATTTTTTTAAGTATGTACTTAGATTAATACTATTTTCTTACATTTAAAAGAAAAAAAAAAGATTGCATTTTCAGAAATAAAGCAGGAAGGATGTTATTGCTCAAAAAACAATTTCTTCCCTTGGAACACCTTTCCTCCATCATAATAAAGTATGCATATGTGGATGTTGTTGTTGTGTGCCATTGAGTCACTTCTGACTCATTGCAACCCAATGGGAGAGTGTGGAATGACCCTATAGAGTTTCCTAAACTGTAATCTTTATGGAAGCAGACTGCCACAGCTTTCTCCTACAGAAGGGCTGGTGGGCTCGAACCGCTGACCTTTTGCTTAGCAGCGGAACACTTAACCATAGCTCCATGGAAGCCCCTTGTATATATGAAAGAGTGCTGGAAATTAGATACAAAATACATAGCTAGAAAATTTAGTTCAGAGTGTGTTTCATTTAACTGATTTCTGTAATTTGAATACTTTTCCCTGTGAGGTCATTCGGATTAGCAGCTACTTCTAAAGTATAGTCTTGTCCGAGTTTAAGGTGCCTTGCTTTGTGAGCTACTTGGTAACTTCTGAATGAACATATTTTAACAAGGTTGTTAATTTTCTTTTGAAAGAAATGACTGCTTTAAAAAGAGTTAAGTACTGTGTTCAACTGCTAAAAAAAAATAAAAGTAGCATTAGAACATTTCTGCTGGCAGCTCCATGTATGAGAGGAGTAAAATCTATGTGTGTTGCTATGGGAATGTTGCTTGGAGATGCTGGTTTGAATGCATGGATAGTCCTTATGTAATATTCATGACCTCTAGCACAGCTGCCATAGTAGTTTACAGAGGCACTGCCAGAAGACCTTGACTTTTAAAAGCAGTATTTCCATATATCAAAACAGTTCTCACCTCAGCTGGCAGAGAAATCATCTCCAGGTCTGACTCTCTTAACTGCGAGACAACTCATAAACAGCAGACGCAGAAAGGGTTTTGTGACAGTGGAAGCTGATAAAACAAGGTGTGGCCCAGTTGCCATAAACTGATCTTCTTTACGGAAGTTAAGCATTTAAAATGTTAAACCAAACCTATTACCATCAAGGTGATTCCTACTTATGGTGACCCCATGTGTACAGAGTAAAACTGCTCCACAGGGTTTTCAAGACTGTGACTTTCGGAGGCAGACTGCCAGGCATTTCTTCCACAGCACCACTGGGTGTGTTCAAACCACCAACACGTGGTTTGCAGTTGAGTGCTTAACTGTTTGTGTCACGCAGGGACTCCATTAATTACTAAGTTGAAATTTGACAATGAATGGAATTAAATTTAAAAGATTAAGTAATGGACATATGCCCAGTAGAATTAATTGCCACAGTTTTGTGGTATACTTAATATATGTTGCAATTCAGAATCTGAATTATACATTCTACGTTTTGCACCAGAATACAGAGAAGAGTCAAGGGAAAAAAAAAGTTCATAGTCCACAAATAAGATTTTTCTATTTGTAGATAATTTTCACATCCAAAAACTAGACAGAGCATGAGATGCATATCAGAACCCAGTTCATTGTAGGTCCCCCCGCGCCAACATCTTTAGCTATCTGATTGGGGTATTTTTATCTGTTATTGTTTTGGTGTGTGTTATCAGTCATAAGTGACACAGCTTCATAGAACTTTTAAATATTCTTTCAACTTCCTGTGGCTCAAAATGTTGACCCTAAATAAAACAAACTTCATGTTATTTGGATAATTTCAAACAAGTTTACCCTAGCTCAGTCTTGGCCGAGGAAGCAAAACCAGAACACACTCAAATTTTTAAAATTAAGTAATGAGATTTTTGAAATTTGGGTAAACTGGAATGATAACTGGAACATGAAAAAACATGGTTCGAAGGCTTTTTAGAAACTTAATCTTTCTCTTAGAAAATAAGGGCCTGGTATATATTACATGGCAACCAAATCTCTTGTCTGTTAGATTTTGAGCAGAGTCAGAAGCAACAGTGCCCTGCTCAAAGATGGTGGCTGACTACACTGCTTTGATTGTGTGCCTCTCTCCACAGTCCTGCCAGTAATCCAATCTCATATACATCAGGCTTCTCAGAGGGCTTACTACATACCCCTTCTGAGTCTCCCATTCTAGGGCTTCAACCTATAATTTCCTTCCAGTTATTGTTCCAGATCAGATCTGTTCCAGTTTTGCTTCATTGGCCAGACTGAACTGGTTCAAACCAGTTTTAAGCCCTGGATACAGACTAAAAAGTTCATATATAACAGTGTAGAAGGTGAAAAGAAATGTGAATTTAAAACAAATGCAATATAATTGAAGGACTTTTTCTTACATCAAGGAACTCTAATGGCACAGTTCATAAGGCATTTAACTGCTAAGCAGAAGATTGGTGGTTCAAACCTACCAGTTGCTCCCCAGAAAGAAGATAGGCAAACTATTTCTGTAAAGATTTGCCACCTAGCAAACCCAAGAGGGGTCGCTATGAGTTGGAATCAACTTGATGTTTTTTTTTTTTTTTTTTTTCTTTATGTCTAATGAAAGCAGTTTATTTACATTCATTTTCCTTCTTTAAAGTTAGGTCAATATCTTAAACCTTTGATGTACTCAAATAAATCACACTGGGCAAATTAGAATTTGGATATATTCTGAAAGGAGATTGAAGGACTGAGATTTAAGTTTATATTTAAATCATGGTTTGGTAGATTTGGTTTATTAATTCTGATAGCCTTGAGGAAAGAATATAAAAGAGACATTATAGATGGATAGTTTTTCATTATTTTATTTTTTTCCCATCTGCCAGTATATCATCATGCTTTTTTCAGACTTATTTCAAAATGAAGCATTAAAGTTTGAAAATACATGAACTCATCATTTTTTTAGACTATAGGACATTTTGTACATACATTTTGTAATAATCAAAATTTTTCTACTTTGCTTTTTTACCATGATGATGTTGTTGTTATGTGCCGTCGAGTTGGACCTGACTCATAGTGACCCCTCCTTGGGTTTCCGAGACAGTATCACTACGGAAGTAGATTGCCCAACCTTCCTTCCGAGGAGTGGCTGGTGGGTTTGAACCGCCAGGCTTCTGGTTTGCAATCAAGTGCCTTAGGCACTATGCTACCATGATAGCATCCCTTAAACAAACACACTTTCTAAGTGGATGCTTTTACTCAATGATGTTGTGGATCCCATATAATAAACCTGGGTTTGATCTTGCCGTGCATTGGAATCCTGGTACAATATAAACATGAACTGTATTATCCATTCATTGCCTTCATGATAACTCTGTGAAGTAAAGTGATTGGTAAGTAATGAAACTAGAGAAACTGCCCATAGAAATTGTGACCTACAAAAGGTTATATAGTAAAGTATGCTGTGCTTCCAAGAATAAAACCCAGTATTCTCTAGCACTTTGTCATGGTGTCTCTTAAACTGTACTATGAACAGATTATATTTTAATGTGTAAGGAAAAAGTATCAATTGACATGATCTTGCTTTCTAACTTGTGCTTTCTGATTCCAAATGAGTATTTTGATCTTGTTCGGTTTTGGCGCACCTTGCAGATTCTGCCTAGTTTAAGTTGATGCTCTTTGATATTGCCTTAAAGATAAGTAATATATGAATTATTAATTTATTCCCACATTAAAAGTCTTTAAAAAAACTTTATTGAGATATAATTCACATACCATACAATTTACCCATTTAAAGTATATACAATGAACAGATTTTCATGTTTCAGAGTTGTGCAACCATCAACTACAAGCAATTTTAGAATATTTTCATCGACCGAATAAGAAACTCTGTGCATGTTGTCAGTCATTCCCCATTTCTTCCCAACCTCTTCATCCCTAGGCAACTGCTAATTAGCTTTTTCTCCTTATAGATTTTTCTGTTCTGTATATTCCATAAAAATAGAATTTTGTAATAGGTGCTCTTTTATAATTGGCTACTTTCACTTACTTAATGTTTTCAAGGTTCAACTGTACTATAGTATGTATGAGTACATTGTTCCTTTTTCATTGTTGAATAATATTCCATTGCATGGGTATAGCATATTTTATTTACCTTTTCATCCATTGATGAACATTTGGGTTGTTTTCCACTTTTTATGTATTGTAAATAATGCTGCTGTGAACATTCATGTACATGGTTTTGTTGTGGATGCATGTTTTCATTTCTTTCACATTTATACCTAAAAGTAGAACTGCTGGATCATATGATCATCTTTTAATTAAAGGATGCTTTTCTTCTACCTCTTCTCCTGCCATTCTTCAAAACTGGTCTTTCTACCCTATAGGCAGAGATTCTGAGATGGGTGATTGGATGTGGTAGGGATTGGAGCAAATAAAGTAGTTTCAGTGTGTATTCTCAGTAGAGTACTATTTTAAGCCTATTGTTCCCTTCTCATTGAATGTCTACTATATTTAAGAAATTATATTAGGCAGAGTTGGAGGGTAGGAAGGACTGCAAAGCCAGATCCACAATGATAAACAGATATTTTGCCTGCAGAAAGTATTTATTACTTAACTGGGTAGGAAGTTCTTAGCCTTAAA